TTTCTACTTTGCTTTTACAAGGTGTGCATAGGCATTACTGTATAAGCAATGCTGATACTGCCAGACAATTAAGGAAAAGAAAAAAGAAAAGAAACCCCAAGGTCTTCAATCCTGGTAGATTCTTTAAAAACCTAGTACACGTCAATTTTTTTCAACATAAATAGAATATCCGGTATGGCTTTTGTGTTTATTATTTTTGGTGCATCTTACCTTGCTAATACGGATCTGTGTTCTGTAAGCAAAAGTAGTGGGGAAAATAATATTGCATTAGAAAACAGTCTAAACCAAGAGCCAATGGATATAAGCCCTTCCTATTCTCTACCCCACCACCCACAGCCCCCAGAAATGTTATCAGAAGATATGTTTGGGTTTTGAAGAGACAGAGAAAGAAAGATCAAGGTAACAGCAGAGACTGCAGCAACATATCATGGTTGAGAACTTAAGGGCCTGCAACCATGCAGTCTTTCAGAAAACTCAAAAAACTCCCAATTTTATTGTTTTTGTTTTAATCTTTCCGTGGCACAGTAATATCAATTTTAGAACTAAAACAACTTAAGATAATTTTCTCTTTAATTGGATTATAAAAGTCAATGAGGGTTGTTGACACTCAGCACCTTTGAAAATAATCAGAGCCCTTTTTGTTAGGGATCTGAATATGGAAGCAAAACATTTTGGCTGATTTCCCCCTAGAATAACGAAACACTATTCAAATAAACCTTTACAAACCCCTCTGGTCCTAACCATACTGTTTAATTGACCAGTGTATTCCTTGAAGAACAAAACAGTCAATATTATTTGTTTTGATATTTTTGGCCCCTAAATTAATTTGCAGTGCATCAACACAATAATGGACTAATGGCAGATGGGTATGAAGTGGCATGTTGATATATAATATAAAAAAATTGGTGACTATCATGGTACTTTTGTGGGAACACCTGTTGCAAGTGGAAGCCACACAGCTTGCTTAGAAGTAAGCTAAACAACCTGCAAGCCCATTGGATCCTATGTTTGCCCATGCTAGCCCAGGGAGAGGTTGCCTTCATGACAGGATCTGGATCATTATGAACATCTCCTTCAAACTAGCATCAGGCAGCATCCAAATCTTATCTTGTCTTCCTGCATGCTATCTTTAAGAACTGCCCTCTTCTTTGGGCTTCCCTCAGTACAACTATTTTACAGCTATAGATATGTCATTTTAAATTAATATAAATAATACATAGTCCTGGTATTCAGCCTACCATTTCTCTCTCAATTTAAATTCATTTTTTCTTATTTAACCCCCTGAAATAATGTGAGATTTAAATTTCCTTCTAGGTTTTGCTTTCACTAGTGTTCTTGTGTCCAAACCTCACACACCCACCTACCTCCAAACACCATGATATCATCCCCTTTTCTGAGAAACCAGAATGGGGTAAATTAGCATCGGGTCAGACTGTGCACCTAGCATGGAATGATAGCTCATATACTGCTAAGGTGCTCAACCCCCTCCTCCCCTCTTCTCTGAAGCCATGTCATCCAGCCTGTGGGAGTGGTTGCCCCTTCCCTACTGTCAAATTTCCAGACTGATGGGGAGCCCCATGGGTCAGATGGGGAAACAATCCCAGCATATAGGTCCAGATGAGGATAATTCAGAGCCTGATCCAGTCTGTGGACTGGCCCCTCAAAACTCAGCTGGCCAGTAGGGCCAAAAGGTTGAGCAGCATTGATATACGAGTATGCTTAGCATTATTAAACTTGAGGGTGACTGTGACAACCATGTTGTGGTGCTGCTACAATGGAGGCAAATATTATTAAATTATTAAAGTTAGAAATATGCACAACTGTTTATTTAGAGACATATTCGAACATCAATATATGATAAACAGACATGGCACCCAATGACATCTTGATCTCCTTTGAAAAAGCAAGGTACAGCATTTCCTATGTTCTGTCACTCCAGGAAAAATAGCTCTGGAAGAATGGAACAAATTTGAGCTTTTTTTCTACTCAATAAATAAAATTCAAGAGTATGTTGTTGGAATTTATCCAGTTAGACCCTTTGAAAACAGCATCAAACTTCCCACAGCCACAAGTCATGTGCTCCAAGTTGCTGTAGCCCTTTTAGTACATAATGATGAATACTATACAAGAAAAATGCAATGCAAAAGACAATGATCATCACAGCAAGTGTAGCCAGGGTATATATTGACATTCTTTTCTCCATTGACCCCTGGACCAGGCATTGGTAAGGGCCTAGGCAGTTTGTGGTGCTGCATAATATAGGGTAGCCACTGACCCGGGGCAACTGATCATTTATCAGAATAGACAGAAATACTGCCTGGATTACCAGTTGCAATAAGAAATAGAAAAGGTATAAGCCAAGCACTGACTTCTGAATGTGGAAGTCTATAATGCGAACGCCCTTATGGCTTGAGCTGTCTTCTTGGACTCCTGTCATTGAGCTGAGTTCAGCTTCGTTCTCCTGTTGAGCTTTGACTTTGGTTTGTTTGTGCCGTAGCTGGGACACAAAAAACTCCATCAGAAGGAATGCACACAGGAAAAGGAAACAGGACATGTACCATGTCCCAATGATAGGCTTATGGAAATGTTGTTCAAAACATTCTCCAAGGCAGGGGCTTGAGAGATTACCATGGCATAGAAAGTCCTTGTGCAGATAGATCCACGGCAAACGTTCTACATAGATCACCACTGTGTATAACCCTAAAAAGCCAAACCACAGTTTACGTCCAATGTAATAGCTGCTCTCATCACCAGCAAGAGAATGAAGCACAGGAATAATTCCAGCAACTGCTGCTGCAGCCATCTCTTGAGCTCAGACTTAAAAAGAGAACATAAGCAACAAATTATTCTAAGGAAGTGGTAAAAAGTCAAAATCATATTGGGGTTCAGAGGCCAAATCTTATTTAGAAATATGAGAAAAATTCCCTCATAAAACAGCCCAGGTGAAAATGGTTGCAAATATGGTGGAAAATTAATTTGGTCAACTGAAGATTTAGGTGAGCATCTACTTCTACAACAAGTCAAAATGTAATAAGCCTTTCTCATGCGGACCACCAGAATAGGGGAATGAAGTACACTGATTATTGTACTCTACTGGGAAAAAAGAAAAAAAGAGTGGAGCATTTAAGAGGGATTGCTGTCTTATCATTGACTTACGTACTTTTGACTGTACTCAGGTTGGGGTGTGGGAAAAGGTGAGAAAAGTGACTGTATCCTTCAGCACCTGGGTAGAAAGGAGGGAGGACCTATCTTGCAAGTGGAGGAAACAAATCGCAGTATGTAGGAGACGATCTAGAGAGAAAAGACCCTCTTTCACAGTTCCATTTATCAGAGGATAGTTGAGCCTATCTAGAATGGTCAGAGGCTGAAAACACAGCATAGAAAGGCAAAATAACTACACGGTTAGTAGTCACACTCATAGTGAAGGTTCAAAAGGCTTCCAGGCTCTAGTCCACAAACATGTATGCCAACTGAAAAGTTTCTCTTTAAGACCAAAGGACACATAAGCAGGTAACTTTTTCCATCCCTTTTGTTTGTCCTAGGCTGGTCAATGATTAGGATGCTCCACACCTAGCAGTGAGTTAGCATTTCATCAACCTCTGAGCAGCACTCTACAACCTCACTGAGTTGTGGGATTTCTGCATCACTTCTGTTCCTCAGAACTTCAATAAGTGCACTAACCAACTCCATAACTGGCTTTCAACTGTTTTCAAATCCTGTGATTCTAAACAAAGCCTGGCAAGTTTTTCCTTTTTTTTTCTTTTTTTTTTGTTTTTAGGGATTCTCCTTAATCCCTCATTTTCATCATCTCTCTTTGCCCTGGCTCCTAAGAGCAGGTTATTAACAGCCCTTTACCGCCCCACCACCTGCAGATGAACAGTTGTTTTCTAGGGCAGCTATATCAGTAGGACAGGTATTAGAGGGCAGTATTTTTACTAAACTCTTTACCTTAAAGCATTCTACAGTAACATCCTTCCCATCACTGTCTGGTGTGAAGTCTCCATAGATTTTTTCTTCTCAGAACTCTGTGACATAATAGATTGCCATTCCGGGTCCTTTGTTTCATCCACAAAGACCTGATCCAATGAAATATGTGAGAGAAGTCTTATGGAAATCTATAGGGCTTTGCACAGATACAGGGATTACCCATGTAAATCAATTTATAAAACCAGGCCAAAACAATCATCACACTTCATCCACAAGATTTATGTTCCCAGGTGCATAATAGTAAAATGAAATATGTCCAAGGCCCAGATTTTTAAAAGTTTTAAGGGTTTCTCTATTTAGCCTTGCAAGGTTTAAGTGGCTTAGAAGCCTCAGGGCTATATCCAAATCAATCCTGTAGGCACCTCTATTTGGGCATCACATGTTAGATACCTATTTTAGGAGGTGAATCGACAGGGTTAAAACATCTATAATCCCTCTCTACTATATGGGGAGACCTAAGGATGATTCAGAGATCCTAAGCAAGGAAGTAGCTACAGCCAATTGATTTGGGCTTCTTGAGTGACTGTGTTTTGTAATGAGCTACATGTGTACTCCCAGTATTAAACAGTTGCTAAGCATGCTCAGTACCCACCTAGGCTAGGGACAGACATTACACATAAACCGGTTTAAGTGATCAGAAACTAGTTTAAACCTGTAACAGAACAGATATTTAGTGCACATAAACCAGTTTGAAAATGGCTGAAACTGGTTTGCAATAAACCTGGTTGAATCAGACTTAACAGATTTGGCTCAAATCAATTTATGCAATGTCTGCCCCAGGCCCCTTGCTGGTTTAAGACAAACCAGATACTCCCAACATCCCGGCATGCTCTCTGGGCTGCAAGGGACTCTCTGCTCCACAGCAGGGCTGGCCCCTCCCCTCTGCTCCCTGGCTGGAGCTCTGGCAGAGACTCCAGGTACAGCAGAATCTGCCGGGCTTTCCCCTGCCCTACCCCCACACCCTCACTGCTGACTGCTTAAGCAGAAACCCCCCTCCCCCTCCCTCCCATCTTCCACAGCACAGACCCCAACCCCATGGACCCTAGACATGTGGTATGCTAGCTAATGCCAAGAGGTGTTTGTGTGTGTGTCTTCAATTTACTGGGACAGGGAGACAGAACAGTGACTGCATGGAGCTTTTTGGAACTAATAAACAGGTCAGCTGGTAAGCTGTTTAAAAAGAGTTTTGAACTAATGGAGAGAGGCTCTTATTTTGCTGATGGGGTGATAAATACTGTCATCATCTCCCTGCTGGCTTGCTCGCCTGTCAGTTTGCTGCAGACAGTATAAAGAAGCAGAAAGGGAGATTGAAAAGTTCTGTATCATCAACAAATGCATGCACTACACACCCCCCTTGCCTCAGAGTGCTAGCAGGGGGCTGCGGTCTGACAACACAGGTCTGTAGGGGGGCTGTTAGAAAAGCTAAGGCAGATACAGAGGTAGGGCTAGCGTCAAGGATCAAAGATAATAAAAAGCCCTTTTTTAAATATATAGGGAGAATGAAGAAGAAACTGGGTAATGTGGGGCCCCTGCAGGATATGCTTGGAAATCTGGTGGTTGCACCAGAGGAGAAAGCAGACCTCTTTAACAAATTATTTGCCTCCATTTTCCTGTGCAGGGACTGGGACTCCCTGACCAGGATTCCAGACAGACTCCGGAGAAATGCCACGAGGCCTAAGGTTGGGGAGGACCAGGTTAGAGAGCTTCTGGAGGGGCTGGACGTGTTCAAATCAGCAGGTCCAGCTGCTCTCCACCCCAGGGTGTTGAGGGAATTGGCAGGGGTTATTGCAGGGCCCCTGGCATGGCTTTACAAGCACTCGTGGTGCTCTGGCCAGGTGTCAGATGACTGGAAGAAAGCCAACGTGGTCCCCATCTTCAAATAAGGGAAGAGGGAGGACCCGGGCAACTAGCGGCCTGTTAGTCTTACTTCAATCCTGGGGAAACTCTTTGAGAAGATCATCAAGGAGCACATCTGTGATGGGCCAGCAGCAGGGATGATGCTCAAGGGCAACCAGCACAGTTTCATAAGGGGCAGGTCCTGTCAGACCAACCTGATTGCCTTCTACAGTCAGGTCACAAAAGCATTGGACGCGGGTGTCGCAGTGCATGTAGTCTTTCTGGACTTTGGCAAGGCCTTTGACACTGTCGACCACCCCATCCTCATCAAAAAACTAGGGGATTGTGGCATTGATGCCTACACAGTCAGATGGATTGCAAATTGGCTGAAGGGTTGTACTCAGAGGGCAATGGAGGACGGGTCTTTTTCGACCTGGAGGGAAGTGGGCAGTGAAGGCCCCCAAGGCTCGGTCCTTGTCCCGTACTGTTCAATTTCTTTATTAGTGACTTGGATGACGAGGTAAAAAGCAACCTGATTAAATTTGCTGATGATAGCAAGATACGGGGTGAGGTGGGCATGCTAGTAGGGAAGGACAGATTACAGCAGGACCTGGACAGTTTACAGGGGTGGGCTAACGAAAATAGGATGCGTTTCAATACTGACAAGTGCAGGGTGCTGCACTTGGGCAGTGGGAACCAGCAGCACACTTATAAGCTGGGAAACTCCCTTCTTGAGAGCACGGTGGCCAAAAGAGATCTTGGAGTCATTGACTCCAAGATGCACATGGGCTGACAGTGCAAGGTGACAGTCAGTAGGGCTAACTGTACCTTGTCATGCATCCACAGATGCATCTCAACCAGGACCAAGGAGGTGATCCTCCCCCTCTAGGCGACACTGGTCAGGCCACAGCTGGAGTACTGTATTCAGTTCTGGGCACTGCACTTCAGGAGGGATGTGGACAGCACTGAGAGGGTCCAGAGGATGGCCACCCTCATGATCTGGGGACAGCAGGGCAGACCCTACGAAGAGAGGCTACAGGGCCTTAACCTGTTCAGCCTTCGCAAAAAAGGCTGAGGGGAGACGTGGTGGCCGTCTATAAACTCACCAGGAGGGACCAGCAGGGTTTGGGAAAGGCCCTGTTCCCCCTAGTGCTCCCTGGGGTAACAAGGAATAATGGCCACAAATTGTTAGAGAGTAGGTTTAGAATAGACATCCGAAGGCGCTACTACACAGTCAGGGTGGCTAGGATCTAGAACCAATTTCCAAGGGAAGTAGTGATGGCTCCTACCCTGGGGGAGGCTTGATGTCTACCTGGCTGGGGTCATTTGAGCCCAGTTTTCTCTCCTGCCCAGGGCAGGGGGTTGGACTTGATGATGTACATGGTCCGTTTCTGACCCTACTTCTATGAATCTATGAATTCATGAAAATACTCCCACCCCTTGAGCAGCCAGCGGGGAAAAGCCTGGGATGGTGCAGGCAGTCCTCCCTAATCAGAGGTTCTGCTGGAGTCTGGCCACACCGCCCCCCCCGCACCCCAAGGAAGGGAAGAGAGTGCTGCTCTAGCACCCCCCAGCTTCTAGACTGAGATATTGCAGGCATGTGCCTGAATTTCCTCAGTCCAGAGCGAATGTCTGTCCAGTTACAAGCCACTTCAGCCCAGCCAGGTTAGATTAACCTGCAAAGATTGAATCAATTCAGGCTCAGGTTTTTTGAATGTCTGTCCCTAGCCTCAAGGAATCAAATACTTTAGACACATGCCATGCTTGCATGGATCACAACAGAGGTCGAGTGGGAGTTCAGCACCTGACTGGCTGATCCAAATCACTTCTAAGCAAGACAAACTCTATGCTCCTACCAATTGTTTTATTTTAAAATGGCGATGCCTAATGGTTATAGATACCTAAGCAGTTCTGCAGCTACTCAGGCTTATCTTGCTCTTAGAAAGTGCCTGAGTGCCTAATTCACTTTTGAAAACTAAA